TGAGGCGGCAGAACTGCCTCAGGACCTTACAAATCGATGAGGCGTACAATGTAAACACAACTTTAGTTTAATCCACAGAAATTCATGTACACGCTGTCAATGGCTACCATTGATTTTCCTTGCAAACGATTCCTTGTGAACAATGTCTTGATTCGGTGATACGATAATGCGATGTGAACGTGATAGTGCAATATAGGCTTAACTGATGCGATGCGACGCGATGCGATGCGGTAAAGAAAACTAAAGGAAGAAACAGAAAACTAGCATTACAAAGGCGAGCTAGGGGCGATACGAAATTACAATACAATAAGGTAACGCAGTAATTCTGAAACTTACATCTGTGTCCTTGTTCCGTTATTGACATAAACCTTAGTCCTTAATCCGTTCCTTGATTCCTTTTAACCGTAGAATGTTCAACTTAAAAACTAACACAGCGAAAAGCGTTCCGAAACGTTCAACTAGCGTGGTCATCCGGGACCGCTCGGTCCCAGGCCACCGCAACGTAAGTTTCTGTCATGTCACGCAGTGTCACGCGCAATGCTGCCGTGACATTAACCTTTGACTCTCAAGCTCCAAAGTACAAGCGTGGTTGTTTCAAACTGAAGAAAAAGGAAGCTGTTCATTCCATAATTATATTACCGTTAGATTAGCAAAACGTTTGGTCGTCACAGTAAAGCGCTGCAAAAATGTTTGCAGTTTTATAACAGAACTCTCCGTCAAGTATCATCTCTACTGCCAAATCCCAATAAGCATCATCACATGATGTACGTATTTGTTACTGGTGTATCAACAATAACATTCCAAACATAGTCAGGCGGTCAGAAGTCGCCTTGTCCGATCGCAAAAGAGCACTTTGTTTGTTGCTCATTCTACGACAAATGGCTTCTTGTGAAGATTCAGAAAATCAGTACCTTAGTCATTTATACGAGTGTTTAGCAGCCGCAGTCGACAAGAATCGTGCAGACGTTTTGCTGAAGAGTTTCGCTTTTGAAGAATTATTGGAGATGGCGACTCATAAAGTTCAACGTCATGGAACGCAGAAGGTCAGGTTTCAACTGTATGGAAGCTGCGTTGAAGATTTACATGTGGTTGCTTTCCAGCCGGATCTGCCGGATTTTGATGTTATGATCTTTCCGACTGCAGATGAGCTAATGATCGATGAGGAACTAATCGAATATTACCCTTCTCATCCACTGCACGTCAGAATCAGAGGAACAGGTCACCCCGTATTGCAGTCCTGTCTAGTTGAAAACACGGAGTACGTACCTACTTCAGCGTTAAAGAATCTCCATCCAGCGATTTTTGGTGAAAGCGGATACACCATCAATAACGCCGGCGACGTGGCTGCCGCATTTGTCGGATCGCTAGATTCTTCTCCCGGTGCTTCAGCAAAAAACAGCTTGAACAGTCCAGCTGTAAAAATGACAATAAACTTACCAGATATTGAGACTTTTGAAGGAACATTCCTAAACGAATTTGAAAGTGTATTTCACAAACACGATAAACGGGGAGAAGAAGAGTCAATTGCAGACTGCGCATGTTTGTCGAGTGAAGCCGATGAAAAGCCGATGAAAATGAATTCCGAGTGCTTTAACTACAGATTGTTAAGGGAGGGAAAGCTGCTTTTTGACATTATCCCTGCATTTCGATGCTTAACATGGCCCATGGTTGCTCAAGAATGGAGGAAAAGACAGCGGAAGTGGCCTTCACCTAAAGTAATTGATACAGTTATTCAGGAGGGATTTCACTTGGTCGTAAAAGCTCCAAAGAACGGTGGCAACCCAGAATACGACTTTAGAATCTCCTTTTCTCATGCAGAATACTTGTTAAGCCAGGAGATAAATGAAATTCAGCGTGTGTGTTACCGCTGCCTAAAGGCTTATCATCGTGAGTATCTTTCTGCAGAGCCCAAGGGTCTAATATCATTTCACCTGAAGAACATTTTTCTGCGAACGATTGAGGAAACCGGTGGCGAAATTTGGATCGAAAGCAGGATAGCTGAGTGTATGTGGAAACTATTTGCGAACCTATTGAAAGCTCTCAGGGAAAGGCATTTGCCTCATTACTTTGTGCCGTCATACAATTTGTTTGGCATTGATTACATCGAAGATCCAGCAATTCTGAAATCGCTGACAGAGAGAGTAGAGCAGATCATGGAAAATCCAGTGAAATTTGCAGAGGAGTTGATCCTGGTTGAGCGTTCTTCACCTATCCAGGAACAAAAACAAATGAACAGTACATCCAACCAACTACAGTCGGAACTGATGTTATTGTCTTCGTTAAAGAAAAAAAATACAGAACAACTAAAGAAGCTCACGGTTTATATTGGCACGATAAAGGATTTGTTCGAAGCCGCCAATAACGCTGATTGTATCTTTGAAAATCTCGACCCCATGGAAAGGACCTTAGTAGAGGATCTGAGAGAATTGCAAGAGAAACCCCGTTTCTATACCACTCTCAAGTTCCTGCTAAAATGTTGTCCTTCCGTGAAAAACTCGTTCTTCTGTAGCTGTTCTCCACACACGGAAGGGAACATAAATGACATAAACTTGAGGCAACGCTTTCTTGCCGAGGTGAAGCAGCATATAGAATTGCTGAAGTACTTTAGGTGGCTCAGTGAGGCAGTAGCGACAGTAGAAGGACCTGAAGACTTTTGGAGCCAAATAAATTATAATATGTTCAATCCTGCTTCTGCAAATCCTTTTGACTGGAACCTTGTTTTGCCTCCTCACTTAGAGGAAGACAAACAGAAACTCTTTTTAACAAAGATGAAATGTTACCTAGAAGCGTTGCTTGATGTGTTACCCAAGGATGAGGATGACATCCCATTGGACTGAAGGTACTGAATGAGGTGAACAGGGCCTGAGAAAAAAACCCTTAGAACTCCAGCTTGCCCTTTGGGCAAGCAGTTCTCACATTTTGCTTGCCAGGGGCCACCTATTGCTCGTCTTAGTAAATGATTTTGTTATAGGATTAGTGGTGGACCCAGACCTTCAGATAAGGGGGAACTCGTTCATCCAGACCCTGAGATAAAGGGTGGGGGGGGGGTGGTCTCAAAAAAAAAAATTTTCGTTTGGTCTGTAAACAAGGGGGGGGGGGGGGGGGAGGGGAAGGGGCTTGTCCCCCCCTGGGTCCCCCCCCTGGGGTGGCTTTGCCGGGAACTTTCCCCTTGGGGCAGGAAAGCGGGAAAAAAAAGTTCCTTGCCCAGCAAGAAATCCAAATTGTCCAAACTAACTTGATGGGCCCTTTTTTCCCGCCCCCGTTAAACCCTAAAAAAACGGGTT